TTAAGTTTGGGCATATTTGTTGGCAAAACTGCATCATAAATAATGACTCACGCAGGGTTGTTGTTTTGTAACCTTCCTTAATTTATCCTCTTTCTTTGGAAACTATATTCATTCCCTTTATTTTCCACTACTTTTTAATGTCACCGGCCACGGAGATTCATTCTCATTATTTTTCTAACTCAAAATACATGCTTGTTAGGTCATCTCGCATTCTACTCATATCTTTCTTAATTCATAACATTTTACCTCTCTCAATTGTATAACATATTCATTGCATTAGTTTTTCTACTCATAAAGGAGAAAATCCATGATATTTTATTTTACTCAATTGTGTAACACTTTCATTCTACCTTACCCAATAATATAATGCTCTTGTTGCACTTTTAACCTTAAAGGAGAAGATCATACCTTGATCTGAGTTTACTTCAATCTTGGTATCTTTCATTAGAGTCTCACTTTAGTGAAGATCTAGATATCTCTCGTACCATTTGGTATAAACCCTCATTTTCAATATAAACGACAAATCTCATAGACGGAAAAACCCTTTTACCTATAAATCCAAAACTGACATATAAACATGATTGTTACTTGAAATAAAATATAAATAAATGAAAGATGACACATAGCAAAAAAAAAAAGTTAAATGTGACACATATTTGATATTTTTGGCTAGTAAAAGAAGGTGCTTGTAGTATGTTTCAAGAGTTGCAATTTATTTAACTTTCAAAATTGTAAATTGAATTGCTAAATATATAATTTATAATTTTAAAATATATGTAATGAAAAATATAAGAAAGGGAAATAACGACATAATAGAAAAATAAATAAATTAATCATTGTTTGGGCATGAAATAACCTAACTTTCTTGAGAAATTGTGAAAAATAAAGAAAAACGTTTTGGTACTTCGGGAAAAAGAAAAGAATGCTCAACCATTCCTAAAATTTAAATGGTTTGCTATTTTTAATATTCTACAATTATATCTTGGAATCGAAATAATGTTTAACATTTTATTTTTATTAAAAACGTTAGTTTAAAGAGCAAATATCTAAGAGAGAGTGAATTGGATTTTAAAAAAATTTAGAAAATAAAGTAAGAACTACTATAGTAGACTATGAAGAAGCTCTAGTCCACTATGATTGTAATTTTTCCTGATAAAACTTTTTCAAAAACTATTTAAACAAATATAAAGTCGAGAAGACTTGATAATCGATTCTAGATGAGCAACTCGTTTTGAAAGCTTATAAGAAAAGTTCCAAGAAAAATTTTAATGAATATACATATTTTAAATAAGTCCATTCAATCAATCATAATCATAGACAAATGATCATTTTGAGATACGTTTTTCAAATGTAGATCAAACAAGTTTAATTTAAGAAAAGATATTTTAAGAAATCTTTTCAAGAATAGATATTCAAGTAGTGAGGATTAAGAAAGATTGAACAAACAAGCAACTAATGAAATAAATTTCTTGAATTGAAATGAAATGAAGACATTAAGTAAAAATCAAATCTTTTTCAAAATAAATTTCCTACTCGTGTCAAAAAAACAAAATAAGTAATTTTTTAAAATAGTTTTCAACAATAAATGATAAAATATAAAAACAAATTAAGACACAAAAAATTTATAATGGTTTGACTTTCTCAAATGCTTACATCCATTCTTTTGCTAACTAAAGAATTTTTAATTCATTAAAAAATTCTTACTTTTTAAATAGATAACGATAATGTTTATATAAAGATTTTTACTTTTTAATTAGATCAAGCGATAACCCTTTCATAATTTATTAAAGGAATTCTTACTTTTTAATGAGAAGTGATAATTCTTACACAATTTATTAAAAGGATATTTACTTTTTAACCAAAAGCAATAAACTTATACTAACTTTTCAAATTCTTTGAAGTGTAAGCACAAAGAAAGTTGAATTCAAGTAAATTTGATTTTGTTTGGTTTTCTCTCTTTTGCTTTTAAGACCATGATCGTCAAAAGTTTAACCTTTTTTTTTTTCTTCTTCGTCTTTACTTTGAAATACTTTAAAATGGTCTTTTTTATAATTGGAAAAGCCTTGGAGCCATTGGAGGAAGAAACTACCCTTTTTCTTTCTGAATTTTGTTCAACGACCATTTATAATTGAGTATAGAAGTTCTCTAGTCAATCTACTTCCAGAAAGTTTGTATTTTTGACACCAGAGCTTAAAGAGTTGGGTATAGCTTTGTCAAGGTCGACTATGACTTCATTTCTTCATGATTTTTCATCAATCTTGACATAGGGTTTATTATAAAATTTATAGGGTCGACTATAGTTATGTATTTTTAAGACTTATCCGTTCTTACCCGTTCTGCCATAAGATCGACTTGGCTTACTGTAGGATCGATTGGAGTTTTATATATTCAAGATTCCTTGATATTTTAGCATGTAACTTTGGCCATATTTTCCTTATGATCAAATATTGAGTGATGATTGAATTTTTTGATTTGAAGTAAGATTGGTATATTGTAAATTGATAAACTTTGAATGCTGTGAAATAAACTTCACCACTTGTGAATCTAACTTGTAATTTTAATATTTCAAGAATAAATGTTAGAGGGATCATAAACTCATATAACTAAATTATACAAATTTATAGATATAATTCAAAAACTTTAAGAACCAAGTTCGTAATTATGTATGAACAAATATATAAGAATTAATCATTTCAAGAACTTGTTAAGTATCACTCTAGTAAAGCAAATACAAATTTGAATTATTTTGTCATAATCAAAACTATATTTATTTTCAAGCTAATAATTTTAATTTATGAACAATTCATATTGATAACATATGAACAGTTTGAGTATAATACCTCAAAAAATTTTAAACTATTTAGAAAAATTCAAATAAGTTTTATTCTTTTCTTATGTTCAATCAAATTTTTTATATTTTTATTTTTAGTCAAAATCAAATATCACTTATTATTTTATGCCACATGACACAAATATAGCATACTAATATAACACAATGATATGATTACGTGATATTTTTACTATTCACTTTAGCATCATATATATAAAAGGATTAGTATTTTCACTAATAACAGTATATTAACTAATAATCATAAAGATCTATTTAGTCAAAAACAAAAGTATAAAGATTTGATTAAACATAATAAAAAAATAAAAAAATTTAAATTTTTTTAAATAATTTATAATTTTTTAAAAATATTATGCCCAAAATTTAGCACGTAGAGAAAGATTTCTTTTTTTATTTTATTATTGATGGATGGTTATATCCATGGAATTTTTAATTATGTATGGGAAATTTCAACCATTTTGGAATTAGAGAGTATTTTGGGAGAAGAGATGGAGAGAATTAGGGACGAAGAGAAGGAAAGAGAGAAACCATTGGCGGAGGGAAGGATCGGTCCTCGCATTGCAAATTCTTTCGATGAAGTGTTGGAGTAGCTTTCCCTATACCAAATCAGTATTGAGATTTACAATTTTTTTAAAAAAATTAAATATATTTTATTTAATATAATAAAATTAACAGATTATATTTAATACATTGATAATATATAGAATCTATATACTGCCTGCATATAAATTAAATATTATTATTTTGTTAATAAATAAATTTAAAAATTGAAATTTTTCATAAATTAATATTTATTTTGAAAAACTTTTAAATTTTTATGGTTATAAATTTATGATATGAAGTGTGATTTTTTAATGATACACAAATACTATACATTGATAATACATGAAATATAAATATAAAATCAGGTCAATATGGATAAACCTATACACAATATATTGAATTGAATCTGTCCAAACAATGCATACGAATGGCAAGCAACCTAGGTGGAACATTGCATATATATGTATATATAATATTATATATATATATATATAATATAAGAGAGAGAGAGAGAGAGAGAGAGAGAGAGAGAGAGAGAGAGAGAGAGACTAAATGGTATATTTCATCACCATTATCTGAATGAGCAGGAAACACCAGGAATCTGAAGCTTTGTATCCCACTTATAGAAATGGTTATCATTTCATTTGTTTGAATATAAGGAAAAATAAAGTATGATTGGATCAAACCTTATCTTCTCTAATTATTGTAGCATGCTCTTCTTTGGAAAACCAACCTTTTAATGATTTGCCAAACAGACAGCTTGTCTCCAATCACTCTAAAAGGATAGTCCCATAACATGAACTACCATTATGTCAACACTAATATATTAATTGACAAAAGAAACCTTGCTTTTTTATAAAAAAAAAAAAATTTAGAAAAAAAGGCAGAGAAAATATGGGATAATTTAAGTTCAATAAAATCAAGTCAATAAAGAGAATAAACTTGAGAAGTGTCTTTCATGTGTTAGTGGAAATAAAGTTTGTTTTCCCCTTAAAAGTAAAAGTTTTGAGAGAGGAGGAAGAAAAGGAAAATGTGATGAAGTAATAGTAGTTGTGCACTTTAGATAGTGGGATGGTGCTTGCACATTTCTGTGAGCTTACAGTAGGGAATGTAGGTGCATGGTTGGCATCATCCACTATCCATTCCATGCTGAAAAGGTAGGAAAGGCCTCAAACCCTTCATGTGCACCTCATCTAATTGCTTCAAATCTTGGGCTAGACACAATATATGTTGGCTTTGGGCAGTGTTTAAAAGCCACCTTTTAAAGTGTCAGTAATAGGACTCTACCATTGGCCTTAACTTTCTTGCCTATTAAGTTCTCATCTCATGAGTCTATAAAACCAGCATAAAGTTACACTAAACCTACAATCATCCTCTTTAAGTTATTACCTGTGGTTCATTCATTCTTTTTTCCCCATTCAAGAGGACATTTCTCAAGCTTTTCCAATTTATTCTTGTTCCCAAGCAATAATGTTACAAAATGGAATACTTTGCTTTTATACTCGAGAATGAAAATCAGAATCAGGAAGGCTCTACATTTAGGCCTTTCTCTCTACACTTGGCATATCTTCCATCCACCAGAATAAAGACCCATGGATCAAGTAAAACTGTTCCCTACTTGTGCACAATGTTATAGAAGGGATACACCATTTTTCCTTGGAATGTCTTGAATTCTATACATTCTGGTTACTAAGAAAGCATCAGACACAATTGAATTATGATAGCCCTTGAATCTATAAATACAAAAAATAAAGGTTTTCTTTTTTTGTAAACAATGGATTAGTTATACAACACTAGGTATTTTTGTAACAAACAAAATAAATCACACAATAAGCTTACAGGAATAGGAAGCATTATTAGTAACCCAAGTATCACCTGGCAAAGTAAATCACAGGTGTCGCAGCTGTGTGATCAAAATCAACTCTGAATCTCACTCGGTTATATGTGTTTGTAAGCATAGGCATCTGTGTATCTTCTTCCATTCGGTTAGAAACTAAAATTCGATTAAGGCAATCATGTGAAAGAACTTTTGTGGAAGCCCCCTATGATCCATAGCCTCTTTAAGTTAAATCATCTCCTCAAAAGCTTCAGCACATCACCAACCAGATGCAGTGAACCAGTCACAAGAACCTGAGTTCGCAAGGAGAATATACAGTGTCAGAATTAGTGCAAATGTCTAAACCATTTAAGGCAGAGTTAGAAAAAGAATAGGTAAGAGAAGTGAAGAAATCAACGCTTTTGAAGCTTAAGATAAAATTCTCACCTGAACTCTGACAGAAGGTTTTTCTTTAACACAATCCCTCAACCATTTTATTGTCTGTGGCAATGAAGGCATCACAGCACTGCAAGCTAAACGTTGATCTGCAGTACTGCAATGAAATGCATCCTCATAAAGGAACTCAAGTGGTGGTAAGCTCACTGTGCAGTTCATCATGGTGCTTTTGACAACTACAGGATCTGTTTGTAGCCCAATACAACCAGCAGGAGTTAATTAAATCACCGTCATCTAAAATGCATTACAGTACAATCAAATGCGTTATGCAAATTTGACTTGGACCTTAAACAGTAAATTCAGTTAAAATATCATCTTCATGAACTTATCTTTCTGATTACACCAATCACATATGCCATAACCTGGGTACCAGGAAAGCTTTCCAAGTTGTTCCCTAAACCCAGAGAATTGCTCCCTACTCCTATTCAGGATGTAGTGGCCTCAAATATTTTTGATAGTTAAAGGCCATGACCATAGACAATAAGAGTGAAAGAAAGCTATACTTCAATCAAACCCATTGCTAATTCTGCATCTTTATTTTACTGAAATCCAAATCATTTGTTGACATCTCATCTTCCTTGTGTTCTCTTCAGGGTAACAAGTAAAGGCTCATAATGAGAGCGCAAGACAACTATGTTTCAGTAAACATGGTAAACATCAGTTTCCTACTTGAAAAAATTGAAATTTTGAACACCATTAAAACCTTGGCAAAAAACCCAATAAACTAGTATATCCACATCTTGTGATAAAACAATGTAACTAAAGAGCTACTCATCACTGGATTCCTAGTTGTGGGCATACTTTTAACAACCTAACTAATAAAAATTTGCTTTGTTGTGGAGTCAGACCTGTATGCACTGTATCAGCCATTTGCAAATCTTAAATGATATATATTACCGTTGGAAAATTTACACCATAAGTATAACAACAATCCTATTTAACTGCTAATTTTCCCCTATGGTAGGTAAAAAATGATAATTACAAATGTACCTTTTAGTGAAACAGTGTGGTTGGCTCAAACTCAATAAAAAACAGAACTGGCAAAAGAAGATTAAAAACATTAAGTTTTTAAATTTGGGGGTGCAAATGAGCCAAGCTGATTCCAGGCCATTTAGAAAAAGCTTGGATCAAAATGAATATTAAATATTTTAATCATTCTTATTTTAAAAAAATATAAAAATTGTTTCTGTTTGTAACAATATAAATGGTATGTTGATATTATATTTCTCTCAAAGTTATTAGATAAATATTTACTTTAAATAGTATATTATTTTGAGCTAAATGGAGCTTGAACCAGCTTGTCAACAAAGCAGGCCTACTCATCAGAGCACGAGCTTGTGGTGTCCAGGCTTGCATGAACTTCAAGCTTGACTGAAAATGAAACAAGCTAAGAAGGAAAATTCCAATGTGCAACTCAATTGCACCACTAAATGCCATAAGATATATTATGAAAAATAAAGAATACCTGTCCCATGGATAACCTTTTCCCAAATCCTTTGGAGGCTAAACTGCCATGAAAAGTCGCTGCTAGTGCCATCTGAAGCAGTAATTGAAGTACCAGAAGTAACCTTATTATACTTTGACATGTTTGGAACGAAAAGTGCTTTGGAGAAATGTGTGCCTGAGCGACATAATACCAAAATCCTGATGATGTCAGTATTACAAGTCCCATCACCACATAGATATAGACAACAGAAAACATGCACACACAAATTAAGATTAACTGCAGCAATATTGCTTTAGGTAGCGTAACAAGGTGCAGAGAGATACGTGTAATAAGTTTTCACACAACAATAGCAAAGCTTCTTTCCCAGGGATAATAGCTCAGCAAGAAAAAAAAAATCCCAAGTCTAGAAGGCAACCTCTCTAACACAATTCCATGTTGTTGGCAGCTCAGAACAGTGCCGGTGCTATATCTTTCAGAAACTCTTAACAGACAAAAATAAAGTGAAAGCATTTGCATCATTACAGTGGATAGTCCAGAATGAAGCATATTTATCACTAAAAAGAACTAGTACACCCAACGAATTTTACCCAAAGATTATTCACTTTTATGAAGTGATCTGAAAGTGATAAATAGTATGTATACTTAGGAAGAAATTAGAGAGCAATGATTGTGATAATCTGGGCATTTGTGAAAAAGCTACGGCCATATAGTATTAATCTGGTTGAAGTGAACTAAGATGCAGAAGGGCAAATTTAATTTGTGAAAGAAATTTCCGATTATTTTGTCTTACAGAAGTTGACTAGTAAGAGAGAGAGAGAGAGAGAGAGAGTAAAGCAAAAAATGATAGAAGAAAAATAATCCAGCTGATGCTGCATCATGTTGAATACTAATATAGGAATAGAGCCTTACAGTACTTGTAACTTGATTCCTACCGATAAAACACAAAAACTTAGAAATTAGAATCACATTGTTGTTAATGTTTTTGTGTTCAAAGCAGCTCTACCTGAGGAAGTGCAAGCATTAACAAGATGAGTAAGCAAAACTTCAGGGTCTCTCACCTCCATGCAGTTGAACAAGAGAATCTGTAACAAGGTTTAAACATTTAAATGAGTGCCATTTTTCTAGCAGACCTGACCTATGTTAAGGATACATGAACATTTATTGATGCATACAGAGAGCCCAATACCATGCATTCTACATAATATATCCAGGAAAAACTCACAAATGTACAAAATGGAAATAGATATTAATGCTTATTACACATTTTACCTGCTTTGAAATTACATTAGACTGCTCAACCTTGTCCTTTTTATGTCTAGCACAACCATTCCCAAAATTTCTCAAAGAAGATAACGATGAAGGTGACACCTTCCCATTTCCTTTTGCAACACTAGAAAACCATCTGGCACAGGCCTCCATGCTCTCAGGACTATGAGCTCCATCCAAATAAAAAATGAGATTTCCAGAGGAATTCTCCTCCATTGCTGATGAATTATAGTATTTTGAAAACGTATCATAAACAATTTCAGCCCTCCCAGAAAGATATGCAGTTGAAAGACCTCTACGAAATGCTTCTGGAATATCAGATTTCTGACTGTCCTGCTTTTGAAGTCCACAAAATCTTGCAGTTAATGCTCAGAGAGAGACAGATGGACAGATAGACCATGAACACTAATTGCAAAAGAAATTACTTTCTTCTTAAAGCCTTAATCTCCCTCACATCCACACACAGAAAACCCAAGTTATATGTTTTACAGATAAAGAAAATTTCCATGGTCTCTCATGATGAATAACAGTTTCATAAGTTAATAAGCTGCGTACTACTTAAAGAATGATATGGTAAGTGTAGATGTCATGAGCAAAAAAAAATGTGTAGATGGAGTAGAACCAACATTGTGGAATATCTTTTCCCAGTTTCCTGTTCTCTGAAGCCAACATTTGCAAAGTGAAACAGCAAGACCAGCGTTAATGAGCTGATGATCACCAGACAAGCTAAGTTTTAGTCCTTTCAAATTTTTACAGTCAAGAGGTGCAGCTACGTTTAAAGGAGCCTGTAGTTTTATTCAACAGAGAGAAAGCAATAAGTAGTTCTGAAACTAATTAACAGGTCTTTCTGCATCTGCACATGAACATAACAGCGAGAAGACCACATGTAGATGATCAATTATCCTCATAACAATAATTCAATTAACTATTCCCCACTCTGATCTATGTAGGCATTTTTTGACGATATAAGAAAGAAATCTTAATGTCCCTTTTTGTTGATAATCAAAGTAGCTGGATGCTAAGTTATGGCCTTTTGTTGAATGGATCATTATTTCAGCAATTTCTATGATTGTAATAAGTAATTATTACTACCTGCAACCACAAAAGATAAGCATCTGGGCTACAGATATAACAACAAAAAATCGGAGGTCAAATATTTATAGTTTTAGCCATTGAGATCAGGACAAGAAAAAGTAATTTCATCCTGACATAAGTTACAAACAAGAAACTAGCAAGATATTGTTCAAAATGATATAATTAGTAAATATAATACCATCAGTTCATGAGCCCTCTCCTGAAGAACCTCCATTGCTTCAGAAAGTTGGGGAACAGTGAATGCAGGAATTTGAGGCTTCAGGGGAAAGAAGACATCAATGTAATTTAGAAAATACTTAAAAGCGAACTTTGAATTCAAATAATTTAAACAGAGTTGCAATAACAAATTCGTAGAAAACTGTTTTTGGCTAGTTTGAGTTTCATACCTTAAAAATTCCAGCCTTGTGTAAAGCAATCTGACCCAGGGTATTTCCTGCGTGCACCATAATCATTAACCTGAAGTAAGCAGCAAAATACTTGTTTTTTCTCTCATCCCAATTTGTTTATTACCTCGAATGAAATGCACAAAAGTTGATATTCTGACAAAGGAGGAAATTTGACAGAATTTTCGGTGCTAAGAGATTACAGTGACATATGTAAAGCCCTTTCCCAGAAGAATAAAATAAATTTATCATGACTATGCAGCAGGTTTAAAGTGAATCTATCTACAAATTCATAGGAATTTCCTGACGGAAATAGTAATATCAGAAAATAATGTACCCAATGTCTCTAAGTGATCCATCCCCAGAGAAGTAATCCCACAGACAACAGGTTGTTTAATCTGCATAATTTGATAAAAGAATTCCAAAGTCACTGATTTCATTCTTTAAATTGAATTTCAAAATAATGCAGAAAAGAAGTTTATCTTTCCTGTTTTTGATTTTCCATTTTTATTTACTTTATAATTTGTAAAACCAGCAGGAAAAAATGAGTTCAATAGTTGGAGCAACTCCAAATTAACAAAAATGTAAAAAAAAACTTTGCCAATTCTTTGTAGAGATAATTACCACATTTGTTGAATCTCTGGTTCCTCCAAGTCCAACTTCAATAATCGCAACATCCACCTAAGAACAATCTCAATGAAAAAAGCATCGCAAAGTAACTAAAAGGGGAAAACAATAAAGAAAAATTAAAATAAAAAACAATAAGTACCAAGAATTTAGTCTGAATGTATGAGCAGGTGATAGATGACAACGTAAAGGGTTTATAGTAGACCTATCTCAATGTCAACTTGTAGGCCTATTAGGATGTTGGAGCGACATAGAAAAAAGACAACAGTGAGATCACCAACATCAGATAATGCTAGTTTTGAAAATGCTATGGAAGCATTAATCTACTGCATAAACCATGCTACGGAGTTTTAAAAAGATGAAACATATGTTTTCCAATTATTGGAATGAATCTCTATAAATGCTGAATAAATTGAACCACAGCAGATTCATCCATGGAATAGGAAGGTCTTCCAAAAGAGATTTAAATCTTAAGGAAGCACTAGCAAGAGACCCCACACAGGAAATTCAGCTTCTAAATGACCTAATAAGGATGCATATTAGACCTAAGGAAGGAGTATTTCTTCTATTTGCCCCTGAATATATAATTCATGAAACCATATACATCTTATTCTTAATGATATACACTTAAATGAGTACAAATAAATACTAATGTAGAACTAACCATTGATGTTCATTGATTCCAACACAGGAACTGAGGGCTCTTAACAAGATTTAATGGGAAATAAAGAATGCACAACAAACCTGTTCGCATACAAATATTTTGAATGCTAAAACAGTAAGGAACTGAAACAGTGGAGGCATTGGTAGAGCATCTGTAATATTTTCCTGCAAAGAAATTCCAGAATATAAAATGCCAGTATACTGGCTTCCAGAGCAGTCAAACGCATTAAAATTCCATTGACAATGAGCCAAAGGGAAGTCTAGCATGCATGAATTATTCAGCGCAAGTCATATTATGATGTATTCATTTGCTAAGAAGAAGCATCGTCTATCACCATTGATATATATATATTCTCTCAATAGCTGGACTGAGAATGGGCAAATCGTTTAAGCCATAGACATGAAATTAAAGAAGTTATTAACAATTGAGAAGGAAAGGAATTGATTGCTTCCTAATATAATCAATAAGAACTGGAAACTAAAAGGTAGTTGAATTTCAAATACCAAAAAGCTAGTGCAAAAGCTAGTTAAATTATTAATGACAAGTTAATTTTAAAAGCCTTAACTTTTACAAGTATGTTAAATTCAAACTATAATCATTATTTTAATTCCAATTCTTTTGCTTCCAGGCATTATGCTATTAATTTATCCTTTTTGTCTGAGGCCAATTTATTCTCCAATTTAAAAAAGTAATCAGGGAAAACATTGTTTATCCTGGTAAATAACGTACTTCCAAGTGCTACAACATCAAGTAAGGAAAACAAGTGATGCCTCATGACTGATATATCATGAAAGGATAAAGAGGGAACAGGTGCAGTGATTTACTATCAAGAGAAAATTTAAATAGGAGGCTTAATAACACCACGAATTGTGCTCTCTCTCTCTTCCTGTGATTTCTTTTAAAGAATGGAAACTCATCTAGACAGGATCTAAATAGACAAAACCACCCATAAATAGAGAAAAATAATTTCCATGAGACCATCCAAGAAATTGAAAGATAAGCATAAATATAGATTAAGTTGCCTTCAAACCATAGCAAACACTTTTACCTTCAATATATTCCAGCAATTCCAAAAATATTGCAGAAACTTTTTTTCTGATATCTCCAACCTGGATAACCAAGGTAATGAAAACCAATGAATAGCATGATGACACAAGGGCTCACATCAACCATCCTAATGATTTTTGATAAATATATACATATGTTTATATCTGAATTATGAACGTTGGGCTTGACTTTGCTTCATATCGATGGAATAACTCCAATGTACAGCAAAGACTAGTTCTTGTAGTTGCCTCTATTATTTACTTATGAATCGTTTCAGAACTCTCAACTCAACTAAGCTGCAAATCCAAATAGATTAAGGCCATCAGATAAGAGCCTCTTTCACTAGTTGCCACAGAATACTTTCATATCCTTTGAACTTGCATAAAACCCTCTGCCTTATTAGTGCAGATATCATTCAGTATTACATAAGACAAACCATGTTAAGCCTATTAAGTTTGTTCTCAATAGATTCCACCTTTAACAGTTTTATGAATTTATTTTTAAATGGTTAAATCTTTTATTATATAATTACCAAATATCTATCTTCCCATATATCTTTGTGTCATCCCCACTTACATATGAATGTGTATTCTTTTATCATATTGCACTTTGTACCATATATCTATTATTATCACTGTTCCATTAACTCTTAAGATCCACCCAGTTAAATGGCTAAAAGATACAAAGTGAGTGTTTGGCCCAGCTTATGGAAGAGCTTTTCTACTGCAGAAGCAGAAGCAAGGTGTTTGGCTCTCAAAATTTTATACTTTTTAGCTTATGCGGGAAACCCCATTCAGCTTTTAAACGAAGTTACAAATCAAAACTTCTTCAAAAAGAGCTACTATGCATTAACAAAATGAGATTTCTCTATATTCTGACTTTACCTTTCAATAATTCATAAAATTATAGGGAGAATTATACTTTTCACAGTCATCCTTTTTATTTGGCTCAATTTTTTCTCCTGATTTTTAATTTATTATTTTTAATTAATAAAAATTATTTTATTTTATTTTACTTATTGAGTTGTTTCATTCTAACACCAATGATTTTGTCGACCAAAGTTGAGTTTTTTATTATTTTATTTAATAAAAATAAATTAATATATTATCAAATAATTTTTTACATCCTACAAACATTCCTGTATTAAATTTGCCCAATGCTATTTTAGCTTTTCTTTAGAGAACTTTTAGAATAGCTCTACTTGAACAACACTTCTTATAAAAACTCCAGCGGGACCAAACAGGTTCAAAATCGAATGAGAGCAATTTAATCTCTGGGTTATCTGTGCATAAGCTTTTTTTTATGCCAGTACATGACTAGTACCCAAAAGAGAACAGATTAGCCACATAGGTGAAAGAAGACGATACACTAACCCATCTAAACGAAATCTTTCTCGGACATCAATTAAATGAGGAGATGTAAACAATCCAGTTCGAAAGCCACTCTCACGTAGAATAGCTTCACAGAATGTACATGTTGAACCCTTGAGATATGCATCCAAAAAAAAGGCAAATTTAGAATAGAAAGCCTGTCCTTAAATACTTTATTATTATTGCATTTAATAATATTAAAGTCATGCATCTGCTACAATGTAAGTTAACAAAAGCCAGTTCAACAGGAACTTAATACCTTCCCTTCTTTTTGCAATCTCAAATACACCTTTATCCATGCTAAAATTACAAATCTGTTCATACATTCACACTCAAGATCTCGGATTTATGGACCTTGTGAGGAAAGGACAATTTTGTTCACCATATTTACAACATAATTGTTAGAAAAAACAAAAGGTCAGTAAATGTTATTTAGAAAACGTGTTAAGATGGTCAAACTGAGAAAGTACCTTTCCTTTAGTTCCTGCAACATGGATAATTTTCAGGCTGGCTACTTGTTCTTCAAGGCCTAGTATCTGTCAGAGACAAGCATTCTTTCAGTTTTTATAGAATATCATGGGAAAATGAATGACGAGAGAAGGGAATGGAGAAAAAGAAACAATTGATGAGGCATAATGCACAATTATATTTGTTTTAATATCTGAAGAAGGTCATGAAGGCATTTAATATGATATAACTGTTTGCAAAATATGTTCGCTTAAAATTCTAACAAACATCAAAGGGCAAAATACATCTGGTAATGAGGAGAAACAGCTATCACTAGATTCAGGGTATATGCCCCTAATTTCTACACAGCTAGCTTTATCAAATTTCGTTCACACACAAGTCCCGGAATCTTATAAAGGTACATAAGAACCCAAATGTGACAATAGTAAAGAACACTGAACATAACTTGATACAGAAGAACGTGGAAAAGGAGGAAGGGAGGGAATAGAAGATTAAAATGCGCTAAATTTTGGCTTCAAAAACTCCTCATATGCTAGCACATATTCAACAACTTGGACACTAGGAAAAACCAATCAAGCATATATATCCTGAGGCTATTTTTGAAGATGATTTTTACCATGGTTTCGCATCACTGTGATTTCAAGCAAATAGAGATGTGAAATAGAACTGCAAATAGCAACTGATTGAAGTTATTTGTAGCATGCAACCACAAAAGAAAAAGTAGTTGCAGACATATGCCTTAGATGCTACAAATTCACTACATTGGCTGTTCACAAGTTTGCAAAATGGTCCTGGTCCTGGCATATACAGCCTTCCTTTGGAAAGTATAGACTCCAATGACAACACAAAAAGCATAGATACCAAATCAATAAATGCTAAAATCCTATTTTAGGCACAAGAATCTTTCAATTTTTTAAAAAGTTTACTACAAACTATGAATGCTGTCAAACTGCAGTAAACAATGGTGGATGAAGTTTATCACCCAACCAGAAAAACCCAATCAATGAACTTTTAGGTTAAAGCTTTCTGAATCATAGTCTGAAGGATAACATTGTAACAGAAGAGAACATCATTAATGACTACCACATAAAGATAGATGCAGAGTAACCAATCAAACGTGATGAACTGACTGCACTTAGTTCCATTTCCATAAAACTCATGGGTAATCAAGTATCTCTCATGAATTAAGAATATTGTTGTGTGAACAGTGCTTACTATATAGTTTTTCAATGATATGCAGTTCGAAAGTTTCCAACAAGATGACAAGATAGTAAAGTGTCACCTTCAGATACATCAGCATCCTGTCTAATTTTCCATATTTACCCATCACATTTGATCGTTCTCCACGTTTCTGGCGTGTGATGAGGGAGGAAAGTGCATCCATGGCAGTTTCATATGAAGATGAAAGAGGCACATCCTCCAAGTAATCTCTAATGACCTCATTGCT